CATACTAAATCTATTATCACCCAATGATTATGCAATGTTAATATTATTTTTCATAAGCTATTACTCCCAATGATCATGCAAAGCAAAAGGTCGGGAAAGCATAAAGAACATATATGTTTGTTAATTTAATAATGGTTGTAAGAGAAGAATTAAGTTTGATTCACTTAACCCTTTGTCCCGTTTTATTCATAATTCTATTAATTACATGTTGTACGACCTACAATGCAATTAATTATGGGATATTAAGAGTGATCAATTCCTAACATGCACATTCAATTTACTAGGGTAGAAACTAAACACCAAAAGAAATCACATTATTATTAAACGTAAAAATCACACAAAATATGCAAAAGGATCTGTCATAATCTTAACTATGGATTTAGCTACTTATAACAAAACAAATAACAGAAAGCATGGTAAATAAATCCATAAAGGAAAATTTAAACAAAGAAACCCAAAAGTGGAAAAGATGAAAAGAGATCTGATTCTCCATAGGGTACTTAATCACTTGTTCGGATTCTAAGGGAAAGTTCGTCATTCTTGCCAATGGTCTCCAATAACTCTCAGTGGGAAAGAAGGTGTGAAGAGAAGATGTCTAGAGTCAAGTCAAAAAGTGTACAAGTTAAGAGCATGAAGTCTCTTTATATATGTTGTGCTCTGAGTTTCTAGTTAGTTGAGCTCTCTATCTTTTAGAATTGGTTTTATCCACAACTGAATTCTTCCTTTGAATTTCAAAACTGAATCTTGATCAAAATTCCTGCAGGATTTGCATTTAAATTTAAATTTTGAACGCAAATCAATTTAGCATAATCGTGCACCCTTATCTAGCATGTCTGTGCTAGACAACAAAGTACACCTATACCAAGTGCAAAGTATAGCCATGCATAAGTGTAAGACCAACTGGAATTATCTAATTTTTGCTCAAGATATTCTCAAAATGCATTAGTAGTTCTCTTATGCCTAACTGCAAAAATTAACATTAAAACTAGTGAGAAACTTCAATAAAATATACTCCTATTATAAAATTAGAAACTGTAAAATACATCAAAAGATAGACTTATCAGACACATTCACAATTGTTGAAAGCATGCAGTCTCGATCAATATGATTTTTTTTATCCAAAATAGTAATAAAAAAGAAGTTGCATTAAATAAATAAAAACACTAAATAAAGAATTTTAAAATTATCGTTATTGACAAAATAAATAAATAAATAAATTAACAATACACTTTTAACACATTATTTTTAATATATTTCTGTTTATTAATTAAAATTTATTAAAAATTACAAAAATTATATAAATTTTATTTTTTATTTTAAAATTAATATTTTTTCTTATAACTTTTAATAAATTCTAGTCATTGATTAAGAGTGTAAAAAATAGTGTGTTAATAAATTAGTAACTTTCCAACTAAATAACTTATTTTTAATCTTATTTATCAGAAATGAAAAGTTTTTTTTTTAATCTAGCCTCGGCAAACTTATTTATACAATCTTTATTAATGAGCAATCAAATTAATAATATTTAATAAATTAAATAGTGTATTATTGATTGAATGTTGCTTTCGAAAGGGTTTTTTTCTTATATGCGGTGAATGGAGAAATAATTTTTCCAAATAGGGTCAATGTGAAACAAATGTTGTGTCTAAGGTAAAATAAAAAAGTGTCTGTAAAATTTCTAGCCGACACAATGCACAGTATCGTCTTACGATATAACAACACCAAATTAATTTAATATAAAAAAGATATCAACAAATAAATTACCGAAACTAATTCAGATTTTTGCCACGTGGTAAATGTGTCAAGCGCTTAGAGTAGTTCGACACTTATGTGTCGATTGAGTTTTTTGCGACACTTGTGTGTCAATAGGTTGAATTCTGACACTTACAATGTGAGTTACTTTGACGCCTTGTGTGTCAATAGGTTGAATTCTGACACTTACAATGTGAGTTACTTTGACGCCGGACATTTTCCTCGTGCATCACGCGGTGACTCATGGATTTACCCTGCAGTTAAACCAGATTACACTCTTTTATCCACCAATTTTTATCCAACTTAAAATATATATATATATATAGATCGACAAATGTGTATTGGTTGCAAAAAATTTAGAAGAAGATGATGAGTAGGAAAGTTGAAGGTTAGAATTTTATTAATTTATTGTTTTAATTTTTTAATTTTTTCAATTAAGTTTGAAATAATAATATTAATATTATTATGAATTTATGAAATTAAAATATTTGTGGTACTATGTTAATTTATTTAATGTAAATACAATATTAAAAATGTAAATATAAGGGTTTGTTTGATTTAGTTTTGATTTTTAATTTTTAAAAATTATATTTTAAAACAATTTTGTAAAACTGTTTTTAGGGAAATAAAATAAAATAAATTTTGTTTGATAATTTAGTTTTTAAAACTGTTTTTAGTTAGACTTTTGTTAGTTTTAGAAACAAAAACAGAAAAATAAAAACAAAAATACCTAAATAGCAATTCTGTTTTTTAGTTTTAAAAACTGAAAATAAAAATTAATTTTCAAATATAGTTTTTAAAACTTACATTAACAAGCAAGTTTTTTTATTTTTTAATTTTAAAAACTTAAAACTCTATTTAAAAGGAAAAAACAAACATACTCTAAATCACTTTTAATTTAATATTCGTGTAATATTTTCTATTAGTATTTGTTTAAGTAGTTAATTTATTTTTTAATATTTTTTAATTTGATGTGCAGGATGATTGAAATTGTGGTTATTTTATATTGGAATGAGAGAGTGTACGAAGGAAATGGGGTATAATATTTGAAAGGAAAAAAGAAGATGATTAAAATAGAACATGTAATTACTTTCGAGATGTTGAAAAAAAAGATACATACAAAATTGAGATTGTGAAGTAGTAATATAATTTCTAAACTAATTTTATGAGTTTTAGTTGATGTAAGGAGTGAAAACCATACAATTTTAGATATATGTGATGATGAAGACATTGATTGTATGATAAGTGCATGTCAATAACGACATCAAGGAAATGTAGTTGAGTTATATATGAATATTGCACTTGATGAAACTTCTCATGTTGTTGCAAAATTGTTAGGTTTAAATTTATCACTCCCAACTGTTAATGTTAGTGACAACGAAGAAGAGTATGCAATTGAAAGATGTAATGTATAATATTTATTTAAATATATAATATTTAAAATTTACTAATTTATTAATAAATATGTGCTGCTGCATTTACAGCTGAAGAAGATGACTACGATAATGACTTTGAGGATGAAGGAAAAATTCTTTTAGATAGTTCTTTTGATACTGATTTGGATAATAATTTTGATTCAATGATCAATATTCCCAACATTGAAAAAATAACGATATGTAAGAACAATCAAGAATTGAATTTTTCTATGTTGCATTCATCACAATTTTATTTTGTTATAATTATTTATTTATTTTAGTAACCTACTAACAATCACATATAATTCTAATTCATATATTTATGAAATTTAATTATGTTATATTTCTCATTTAATTTATATTTATATATGTTTAAACTTTAGTTATTTTAACATAATAATATTTATATAACTAAATAATCTCAACATTATTTTTACTTTTAAATGTAGTTTTCTACATAAAAAACAAATATATTATAAATTTTAATTTAAATATTTTAATTATATATATCTGATAATTCTGATTTAAAAAATATAATTTTCTATTATCCTATTATTCTGTTTTTTAATATCTCTATTTTCCTATTTTTCACATGCAAAAAATTACAAAAAAATAAAGTATAATTTAAATTTTTACCAACCTTTGGTATTCTATACAACTCTTAACACTCTTACTCAAAGTTAATATTTTCCGTAAGAAATTTTTCCTGTAAAAAAAAAGCATTATTTTTCTAAAAATTTATAAATATTTATATCTAATATAAAATAAAATAACTTCTTCTTACCTTACAAAATTTCAAAATAGTAAAATACTGTAAAATAATATCTTCTTCCACGGCTATGCATTTTTTTCTTATTTTTTCAGTATCTTCTATTATTTTCTCAACAAAAAAGATGAAGTGGAGAAGAAATAGGAGAGAGACGAGGTAGACGGAAATTCTTTTTAAAAGTATGTCACATAAATCAATTAGCCATGTGTCGATCCTAAACATATTGCATCTATATCTGTCCAACCAGAAACCAAAGTCGGATCTGAACCGTTAAATATATTAGAGAACCTTCTCATATTTACATTGCAGCATCAATTTTTAAAAAACTTCCCATTAATAACACAACACTTATCCTCCCTTAGCTAGTACTAGTAAGAGATTTAACGACACTTCTAATTAAAAAAAAAATATTTTGTATTCACACTTAGTCTTCCTACACTTCTTCAAAGTGCCATCCTTCCTATAGGCAAAAAGTAAAGAACCGAGATCTTCTCTTGTTTGCGCGCGTCATGTTACCGTATTTTTATATTTTTGTTTAAACAAAAAATAGTTCAATTAACTACAAATACAAAAACACAACATATGACCCGCATGTAACATGAGGAGATTTTCTCCAAAAAAAAGCCCCTCCGCAATTGTTTGCTCGTCCTGATAGTCCAAGTACTTGCCAGCTGCTGCTTTTGTCTCTTCAATGCACTGGGGCATGAACAGTCTGTCCTGGGTTGCCAACTACTCCTATTTATTTATGCATATTTGTGGTCTTTTTTTTTTTTTTTTTAGTCCATTCAAATACTTGTTTTTAACATTTTTAATTATATATTAATTAAATTTATTTAAAATTATATAAATACCAGGAAAAATAATTAAATTAACAATAAAAAATATTAAATTATAAAAAAGACAAATGTATTTTTTATTTGTTCTAATAAAATTTAACTCATAATCTTCCTTATTTTGTCTCTTTCGCGGGTTAATCTCAACTCAATGCATTTATATATTTCTACAGCTGAGAAGAGGAGTCACAAGTTGAGGGTGTGAGTGTGATTGGTAAGCGAAGGAAAGAGAATTGTAATGGAGAAAAGGTGCAAGGTGTGCGTGACAGGAGGGAGTGGTTACATTGGTTCGTGGCTCGTGAAGAAGCTCTTAGCGAAGGGTTACACTGTCCATGCAACTCTCAGAGACTTGAGTTAGTATTTCTCTCACTCTCTAACTTTTTCCCCTCTGCCCATGTACGTATCCTCTTGTACAGTGAATTAGATTTACAATTTGCAATAACAGAGATTGAGTCCGAGGTGGACCTTTTGAAGAGCCTTCCGCAATCAGAAGAGCAACTGGTGCTGTTTGAAGCTGATATTTACAACCCAATTGGCTTTGAGCCTGCAATTCAAGGCTGCGAATTTGTCTTTCATCTTGCCACTCCCTTGATCCATCAACCCAACTCACAGGTTCACCTATTAATCTTAGTGATATAATATTCTTACAAGTTTTTTTTACAAGAATATATATAAGAGTACTCAAAAAACAGGGGGGAAATTTCGTGGGTTACTACTTAAGACTAAGATAAAGATTTTCCTTCACATGCTGGGCTTCTACGATCAACCTAATCAGAGACTTTAGTTTTGATTCAATAATTGTTAAGAAAAAGTTGTTATAATACTGAAACAGGGCAATATATTCATAGAATGAAAATGGTGAAAATACCTGTAAAATCGCATCCTTATTTGCTTATAATGATGAAGGTATACAAAGCGTGCGTCGGCATTGAGCAAGTAACTAATGAACTTGGCACCTGAGATAGTAATAACTTTGATAACATTCTAAAAAGAGTCGTAAAAGAGTTCACCATATATAAAATCACTAAAATGAACTATCACAAGCATACAATAAATTTACTTGAAGTAAAATAAGAATATAGTAAGTAAATACAAGTTATACTTATTATTTTGTGATAAAACCTAAACATGGTCCTCGTACATAATGGAAACCATAGCAGTACAAGGATACTAGCGAAGCATCAGTTGCCGCGGCAAAAAGCATTGCCATGTTTTGTCTGAAAGCAGGCACAGTGAGGCGTCTGATCTACACGGCGTCTGTTTGTTCTGCTTCTCCGCTGAAAGATGATGGAAGTGGTTTCAAGGATGTTATGGATGAAACTTGCTGGACCCCTCTCAATGATTCGTTGGAATATTTATTCCTTCAAGAACCTGTTTACAAGGTTAGTTTCCAAGCTTTTATTCATGAATTTGTTCACTGCGAATATCATGGAAAAGTTTTGCAAAACCTCTCGTTCAAAACAGAGATGATAATTTTTGCATACTCGAGATAAGCATGTAAGAGTAAGATAATATAGAAGCCACACCAATTACACAACAAAGTCAATTTCTAATCTAAATTTAAAAATGAAAATGTGCAAATGTTTGACTTATTGTATTTGTCTTATTTTTAAAGGACTATACTTATTCAAAGACAATGACGGAGAAACATCTGTTGAGTTATGGGACCGATGAAAATGGTGGTGGATTAGAAGTGGTCACCCTCGCTTGTGGGCTTGTGGGAGGTGACACCCTTCACTCCTCTATACCCGGTTTCGGGTCCGGGCTCGTTTGTATAGCACAGATCATTCAAAATGAAAGAGTGTACAAATCACTGAAGTTCCTAGAGAATTTGATGGGGAAAATTCCTCTTGCACATGTTGATGATGTGTGTGAAGCTCATATTTTTTGCATGGAAAACACCTCAATGAATGGCAGATTCTTGTGCGCAAGTTCTTATGTTTCATTACAAGAGATGGCTAATCTTTATGCCCTTCATCATCCAGAATTCAATGTGAAACAAGAGTAAGTGTCTCTCATTGGTTTTTTCTAGATTTATTAAGGTTTCGGACTCGATCTAGTGCAGCATTATTCAAGCCTAGTTTGTATTAAAGTTGATGATAATTAATTTGATAGAATTAATTTTCAATCTTTGAATATAATTAAGATTAATTTTATCCATATCTGTTTATTATTAAAAAATAAAAATTTATTATAAATTCTTCTTTTTATGCTTTTGGTCATTAAAAAAATTGTTTTTAGTTTTGTTTGGTCCGGCTTTACTTTGCCAGAAGAAGAAAAACTCAAAAAGTTGGATCAAAAGCTACCTTAGTCTTTAATCATTTGTTTTTAACACAGAGGACTAAATGTCAGCATTTTTACTAAACGAGATATTAAACAAACACATTTTCCATGGAAGAAATTTAAAAAAGATTAAGACTGAGTTTGAATTTATATAGTCAGAACACAGAAATTAAAGTTTCTTTTTCTAAGCCGTTTTTAGTTATCATATAAATACTTCTAATGTATTCATTTCAGAAACGAAGATGGGCTGAAGAAGGATATCAAGTGGGTCTCTACAAAACTGTGTGACAAAGGTTTTGTATACAGATATAACGCCAAGATGATATTGGATGATTGCATCAAATGTGCAAGAAGAATGGGTGCTCTCTAGTCTCCATCTACACCCTTCCTTGCTATATCAGGCCTCTCCTCGTTTCATTTTGCTCCCTATCTGGCTATCTTATTGTTATTACTAGTATTTTTGTTTTGTTGATGAAATAAAATTACTCAGTTCCAAATCAAAATATAAAAAGAGAACTGAGAGGAGAGACTGAGAGTATTACTAGTGTATTAATAATTTAATGTTGCTTCCGAAATCATATGCTCGGAGACTGTGTCCTCGTTATTGTACCTGGGTAGTCCGCATACTTGTCAGCTGTTGCTTTTGCCTCTTAATTGCAGTGGGGAATGAACTATCTTATCCTGGGTTGCAAATTACTCCTCTTTATTTATGCATATTTGTAGTCCTTTGTTTTTTTTAGGTCCATTCAAATACTTGTTTAGTATCACACTGGATAACATTTTTAATTATATATTAATTAAATTTAATTAAAATTATATAAATACCAGGAAAGATAATTGAATTAACAATAATAAATATTCAATTATAAAAAAGACAAATATATATTTTTTATTTTAATAAAATTTAACTAATAATCTTCATAATTTTGTCTCTTTCGCGGGTTAATCTCAATTCAATGCATTCATATCTTTCTACAGTTGAGAAGAGGAGCCACAAGTGGAGTGTGTGTGATTGGTAGGTGAAGGAAAGGGAATTGTAACGGAGAAAAGGTGCAAGGTGTGCGTGACTGGAGAGGGTGGTTGCGGTGATAAATTGAGTTAAATCTAATTATATAAATTTAAAATATTAATATATAAATTTAGAATAATAATAATGTAATTATTTATTTGTAGATATTGTAAATTATATGGTAGATAATCTATATAAACTATGAATCTTTTTTGAATGAAAAATTAAGATATTTTTTTACTTAATTACACTCTCTTAATACTAAGTTTTTGATGGAGCAAATTTAGAGAACAATAGAACATGTTTCTGTGACGGCAAAGGAAATTTAGTCACGGATTTATTAACCTGAAGCACTTCTATCATTAACTTAGATGTTAGACCTACACTATATTCTACATATATCACTATCAAGTGTCCAAAGTCTATAATTTATTAATCATATTATTAATGAGCTTAAAACATTATCAAATGGATCACAATATTAGCTCGTTTCTAACCAAATAAAAAATCACAATTGATTGTAGCGTATAATGAATTTTATAGAAAATTCTAACATTCTTCCACCTAGGCAAAATCAATTGTGTAGTTCATAACTTTTAAAAATTTGAAAAAACAACTTGGTTAATAACATGTTGTGCTACAAACATATGATCCCAAGATACAACACTTAATTAAGATTCTATCTAACAAAATCATGCAATATCAAATCATGATGACGATTGCATATTTGATTGACACAATTCCTTCTATAGTTACAAATACTACTGACTTTATCGACTAGTCATCAATATAGATTGTAGCGATAAAATGATATACTAATATGATCAAATAATCATACTATCATTTTTCACATCAATCCTTAATTTCTCTCAAATGCTTAAAGCCAAAGAAATTACATAGTTCATTATGAACCTTTATGCCTTAGCTCCAACAAGCATCGACCACCAGCATAGTGGTTCCAACGACGACGAGCTCAAATTTTGATCATAATACCTCAACTCTAAATGGCATCAACCACCGATATAGTGGTCCTAATGATACCGAGATTAAAATTTGATCATATCTAAACGCCAATATAGTGTTAATTACAAATACGATGACTCTAGCAATATTGAGTTTTATATTTGGCACTCGATATAACAAATATGTTTGTCTATACAAAGATATATAATAAAAGATGTATTACCAATTGCTCAAAATAAAATTAAAATGTACATATTAACCGAACACAAAAGGTGTTTAAAATAAAAGGTCTAACATGATAAGAAAATGACATAAGAAATAAACTCCTACTAACTAAGCATATTAAAAGAATTCATAATTTTATGTTCTCAATATATACCTTTTTAAATATAATATGCATTAACTCCTTAATTGGAGAATCATCTAGCTTATATTATATATTAATATACTCAATAACTATGTCATTTTTCTTCACAAGATTTAATAGTCAAATTTAGGGATGACAATGAGTAAAATACTCTATTGACACCCGTAAAATTTACCCACTATATGGATACAGGTACGGGTATGGATAAATACTTATAAATTTTAATGGGGATGAGTACGAGTTTGAGTATCTAAGTACCCATCCTGCCTCATGCCCACATACCCACCCCTCCCCCCTCCACACACACACACACACACACACACACACATATATATATATATATATATATATATATATATATATATATAGTGTGCTACTTGTGTAAATTTTGATTTATGCTTACACTTTGTCCTACAATAATGTATTGAATTTTTGTATTATTATACTTTTATGTGAAGTTATATAAGATTAATATAAAAATATATTCAATAATAAAATAAACAAAAAAAATTATTTTGGTTCATATTTTTAATAGAAAAATTTATTTACTATTTTATATCATTTAATAGGCTAATATAATATAATTATAACATAGTTGATATGAGATTGATTTTTTTTTAAAAATTATTTATATATGACACACATAACATATTTTTTACACAAATATTTTCGTTAATAAAATTATATTGATATTTAATTCATAAAATAAATAATAAATAATGAACATATTGTAAATATTTTATAAATTTTACAATCACATATTATTGTTGTAGGCTTATTATTTATTAATAATATTTAAATTTTATTTTTTATATTTGAATTCAAAAAAATATTTTCATATGTATTACAAGCACAACTATAATCTATTTAATCTAAATAATATTATTCTTACCATTTTATTTACATTTAAAGAATTTTTTGAAAGATATAAAATATAAAAAGATATCATTATTTCTTATTTGTTAATTTTTTCTTTAAATAAAAAGTATAATTTTTTTATTATAAAATTTTATTGTGACCATTGATCTTTTATTCAAATTCTTTTTTTTAAAACTTATATAAATTATAAATATTTAATTTATTAAAATAATTTTTCAAAAAATTGTATTTTTGACAAATTACTTTCATGTAGTACATGAGTTAAAAATAGTAGTATTAATATATATATATATATATATATATATATATTATTAATCATATTATATTATTTTAATTAAATTTGTTATTTTTCTTATAATTTCGTATTCAAAAATGAAAAAAATTATTTCATGTGTCCACTTTTCGTTGTCATTTAGTACTTGAACTTTGCTACTCTAACTCTACTCTCATTCTCAATGTCTGTCTCATTAAAACATATTGCAACAATTATGAAACATTATTCATTAGAGTTAGTTATCAATGACTGTCACAAAAAGTCACCAAGTGATTTCACATAAGTGACCACCCATTGTGTAGATCTATCTCATCGTCGCTCTGTTGTTTTCGTTTGATTACAATTACTTTCATTTTTAAGTGCTTAGAACCATTAATAATTTATTTTTATTTTATTTTTTGTGTAGAAAACAACATTGTTATAAGGGTCAATCAATCAAACAATAAATTTTGCTTATACAATAAAGCAATAAGAGTCAATTTCTCATTCTTCCTAAATGTGGATCTCCCAATTATCATAAAGATATATCTCAAAGTTGATTATTACGATGATACTCTCAAAGATTTGAATCTATATATATCCCACAATTTCTAAATTGTCAACTATCCCATTATAAGCTCATACTTTTCGATCCTTGCAAGTACTTCATTACTTTCTTAGCAATTATTCAATGATGAATCCAAAGAATGTATTCGCATATAGCCAAAATGTCAACTATTAAAGCAATGTTATGTCAATTATTAACTTCCACTCACTCAAAAGATGTTTAGAATTAGTTATTTTTATAACAATCTGACTTCACCTATCAAACTTCTCCCACTAATCCAAAAGTTTCTTTTACTCATGTGTATTTTACTAGTTGATTATGGACTTATCTCTCACGCAAAACTAAATCAAGAACAACAATTCTAAAAGGAAATTTTAGGTATTACTTTCATTTGCTACGATACAATTAAGGGACAAAATAATTGTTCACAAGAAAATTCACTATTAGGATAAGACAAAAATGCATAAGAACAAATTATAAGACAAGATATAGCTCAAGATGGTAATAAGCTATCAATGTGAGGCTAATAAAATAGTATATTTCCCTTTGGACAGAATGCACAAACCAAGGTCATTTACCCTAGTTAATACCTCATATGGGTTAATCTATGAACACACATTAAATTCAGAAAATTGTCACTTTTGACTAAACAAGTCTCTTAACTCAATGCATTGTCCAATAATTCCGTCCATATTCAACTCTTAATCCAAACATACAACCACCCCTTTTGGGCTAGCAATTACATGCAAGGATCAAAAGCATTCCTTAAATTATTAAAAATCTCTATAAACCAATACAAATAGTCTCACTTTAGTGGTAATAACTTGTAGCAATCAATGAAAACTCTTATACAAGAATAAGTTCTCTCTTATCCAAAATCAGGACTTAGTCAATAAGAAAATATGCATCTAACAACATCCTCACTAGTTATTCGTCAATTATCAATAGCATTCTCAATATGTTTTATACTCAAATAGTTAAAATTATATATTAAAAAATATTATAATATTAAATCATAACTAAGTATTAACAATAATTTTGTCTCACAAAATCAAATAAGAAAATTGAATACAAGAGCACTTAGGAACACAATATCTAAGTTGTAGTAGTAGAAACTAAAACTTATAACAATAATAATGATAAATTGCCGAAAAATTGACAACTAGGTATCCAAATCCAGGATTGGGGAGTAGCGTACAAGAAGTTGGGCTGAAATTTTCTCAGTAATATTAGATTCTGAGGTTTGTATGTTTTGGCATAGTCCAGTGCTACCCAAGTGGCATGCTGACACAGAGAAAAGGTTTGATTATGAAGTCACTGGTGATATGAATGCAGGAGAAAAGCTTTCCATGAAATGACTTTCAATCATGGTTTCGAGTAACATGTTGTTGTCTTCATTTTCTGATCCAATTGATGGAGAAGGAAAGCAAAACCATGGGAAGATATCCTCCCTGGTTTCCATTTCCAGTTCCTCTGTTTTGATTTTAAAATTTGTTTCAAACGTGAAAATTCCATTTGGGGTTTGTTGTATTTTCTCTTGTAGTTGTTGATCATAGTGGAATTGATTTCCCCCTAAATTCATCTTTATGTTTGATGGGAATGCCTTGTTTAAATGCTTAGCTTGCATGCATGTGTGTCTTCCTCTGTAGGTTACCTCAATTACTGTTGGGTC